TAAGATTAAGCAAAATTCTTCAAAATGATGTTAAAAAAATAGATTTTAAAAAATAAATTTGTGACTGGGAGTATTTTCGAAATAATCTAAAAAATGGGAAAATGTAAAAAAAAAGTGTTTATGGCTAAAACACTTGAGAATCTTTGTTGAACTAAGGTTAAACATCAATTTTAATTGATTTTGGATCGAGCCTATTTTTTGTTTGGACCAGATCACCCAAGATACCGATTGGCTATCCAATAGGTTGAACTAGAATAGTCCGATCTTTTCTTGATAACTTTGCTTTACACTACCCTTTTATCTAGTATCTTAGCAATAGAAAAAATCAAAGATATTGTGGAGTGTAAATATTAGTCCGGAGTCATAAGTCTACATAACGCACAATTTGGCTCCATTAAGTGACAGTTTATGGTTCACTAGGCTTAAATTAGAGTAATGTGCATTTTCTGGGAATACCAAGCTTCGTAATCTGCTTACCCTAGAAACAATGAAACAAGAATATCATTATTTGGGATCCTTTTTTCCCGACTATAAATACTGTGAAATTCTTTGTTTAGCCCATTGATGGTTGTCTTTTATGCAAATATTTCCCCTTTTCTAATTCATTTGTCGGAAATTCTTTCTTTTTTTGAGGGGAAATTGAGGTTTCTTATGATCTGGAACCTTTTATATTGGGTGGTTAATGTAGATAGAGAACCATGTGTTGGGAAAGAGGCTGAGGTCGTAATGGGAGCATCCCCGCATTTTAGTCACCACATTATGGTTTTCATTCCCATTAATATCTTAAAAAAACTAAATACTAAAACTATTTTAAAAAATAAGTAGGTACCGGTCTTCCCCCCTTGAATTAACAAAAAAAAACCCTCTGAGAAAGAGAGGGGGAGTTTTTGGATAAGTGTCCTCGAGCTATTTTACATGGACATAGATAAGGTATTAACATTTAACATGGATATCAATGTCGTATTGTCAACCTTAAAATTGACTTTTTATACACAATCCATCTGTCTAGAAGAGGGGAGATGGGATTTTAGGTTGCATTAGGTATTTCTATTGCAAATTTCAAGAGAAAAATTCAATAGGATTTTATGTTGCAGTGAGTACTTTTATTGTGAGTTTCAAGAGAAAAGTTAAAAAAAAAGTAAAAAAAGGTATAAGTCTCTAAAGTATCCTAATATTATCGTGTCTACTGCAAGTGTCTATATTAGGTAGATTAGGAGTAGATAAATTGAGATTAGGAGAAATAATTAACTTGTCTATGTGTGTATCGTTAATGTAGATGCATTAGTTATAGTAACATAGTTCCTTAACATGCACCAATTAATACCAATTAAGATTATACATGTATTAATGCTCGGTAACATGGCTCCCTTAAAACGCCTCAATTCGAATTTTACCAATTAATACAGTTTGATGTTAGAAACATTGGATTATCTTTAAATTTCATTTTTTGAAGGTTTAAGGCGGACCAACTATAAAGTATAGGGCGGTTGCGCTTCAATGGTTTTGACATCGAACTTACTTAAGAATATAAAAAAAACTAAAAATATAGATTTAATATGCGGTCTGATATTTAAAATATCAGAATAGAGATAAATTTGAAAATAAATAAATAAATAAATCCAGGAGTGACCGGCAGATAAATACTGCGATGAATCATACTACAATAACAGTAAAAAAATAAAATTTAAAAAATAATAATACGTGTATAAATTTTCCATTTTAAATAATTGATTTTGACCAAGCAATGGAGAGAGGGAGAGAAAGAGCGAGGATTCACTTACTATTCGCCTAATTCACCGAAACATACCAACCAAACAATGAAATAAGGTCCCCTTCACATTGATGGAACTCTAATCACAGCCGTCGGTTAGAGTCGAGTAGACACACGTGTGACAGGTGGCACGACGCAAGTAGAAACACTGGGAAGTTACATGGCGGTCGCTCCAGTGAACGCGCAAAGCCGAACTAAGCATGACGTCACAAGAACCTTCTCTCCAAACCTCCCTCTCTCTCTCTAAAAAACAAAAAAAAAGTAGAACTTTCCTCTCTCTCTACTAAAAAAAGTAGAACTTCCCTCTCTCTCTCTACTAAAAAAGTAGAACTTCCTCTCTCTCTACTA